TAAAGCCTCTGCCTTCAGCTCAGGTCATGATCCCAGGGTCCCGGGATCGAGCCCCACATCGGGCTCTCTGCTCAGCAGGGAGCCTGTTTCCCTTCCTCTCTCTCTGCCTGCCTCTCTGCCTACTTGTGATCTGTCAAATAAATAAATAAAATCTTTTAAAAAAATTAGGATTTACAGGAGATTTAAGACATAGTCTATCATGAGGCAGGAGCTCAAACCAGCTCTGATTAACTTACAGATAAAACATATCCCCAACTGGGACTTTAGGACAGTGGGGCTCCCTGAACTCCAAATTTTTTTTAAGGTGACCTTTTTTGGGGGGTGGGTCTGTAAGATGCGGCAGGGAGAGGGAGGGGGAGAGAATCTTAAGCAAGACTCCATGCCCAGCACAGAGCCCCACGTGGGGCTCCCTGAGATCATGACCTGAGCCAAAATCAAGCGTCAAAAGCTTACCTTACTGAGCCACCCTGCTTCCCCTGAACTCTGAATTTCTTAGATTTTGTGGATGTGGGTCAGGCACCAAACACAACCTTCCCAGCATTTTAGGTTTATGATTTGCATTATCCGAAACTGGTCATAAATATCCAAGAGTCAACACGTCAACAATGAATATAAAACAGATCGTCCTACTTGTGCTCATTTTGCACTTTTTAAAATTAATTCAGTGCATGAAACATGAGCAAATTAAGAGGGAATCAAGGCTCTTCACCATCTTTACCAAGTTAAAAAAAAATAGTGCAAGAAAGTACAATGAGTTAGCCAGTGTACCTCCCAAAACCCTTTGCCGTTCTTTCTAAACCAGCAGCATCATTATCCTGCTCCAGACTCTGGGCAAAGCACTGTATCGGTATCACCTCATTTAATCCTTGCAATAATAACTACAAGCGAGATGATGCTACTACCTGCGGCTCAAATAAGGAAAAGTCCAAAAAGAGGAGGAGAACATAATTTGTCCAAGGACAAAGAGCCAGTGCACGAGAGTGCTGGGATTGGATCTTGGAATCCAAGGTTCTTCATTAACCTGTACCACCCACAATACGCTTTCGGCCCAAATGGCAAATGATTCTGTCTTCATGGGGAAGATGAAGCATGGCCCTTTCTGGATGGGGCACAAAGAGTAGCAAAGATGTGTTTAGTACAGAGTGAGAACTTTCCAGAGAAAGCCCAGGGGCAGTGTTCTGTTCCTACAATAAAGGTGATGTGTGTGGTTTTATTTCTTCTCTTCCCCATTCACCCAGATGCAGTCCTCTTAGGGATCATGAAAATAGAGCAATTCACAGGGAAATCCCCAAATGGACTCTACTTCCACCACGAATGAACTACAAACATGCCTACCATCCACTGGCCACTGTCAGCAGAGAGGAGTCACCCCGAATCCCACAGACCTGCCCCGTGTACGTTACCTGGCAAACAGGTACATTCAGAACAAACAAGAGGCTTGGATGGAGGACAGGTGGGGGCCAGGGAGGGAAATCTTTAGTGAGGGAAGACCCATCCAAGAAGTTGATATTTGAACTGAGCAAGAAGAAAGGAGGGAGTGAGGCTGTGAACCACGGAATCGTTCTGGGTGGAGAACACCATGGCTCAGGGGTGACAGATATATGAATTCTGAGCATGGCAGTGGTGTCTCAACTGAATGCCTGAAACCACATGCAGCAAAAGCCCAAAGCTTCCAAGAGTCTCCTGAACAGGCAACATCTTTGAGACACGATTTCCAGAGAGTCATCTGCCACTCGACAAACGGCCACCATCCAGTCGCTGCCACCACCTGCGGTCTTCCAGACACATGGCCGATGGGGCCATCTGCGGACATAGCCGCCATCTCTGACACAGTCACACAGCAGCTTCTGTGAGCGGATGACAGCACGCTCAGAAGGCTGTTACCAAGAAGATGGGTGGGGGACAGGGGCCTCCATGCAGACTCAGCACAGATGCGGGGCCTGGGACGAGGCAGGGCGAGATCGACATCACGGAGCATCAGCCTGCATGAGCGAAACCCTACGGAGTTTCAGATTATCATCAGCAATACCAACTTGAAAGCCGTTAGTGAATTCTGCTTGCGAGGCAGGCCCACTGTCTGAGTAAGTAAAAAAAAGGGAACACAAAAAGAACTGCACACCTCTCAGGGGAAATGGTCAAAAAGGGACCCAGAGATCTAAGTTCAGTTAGCAGGGCCGTCGAGCAGAACACATGGCCGCAGGGTCCTTGAAGACGGGCATCAAAGCCGCCTCCCAAGGCTCTACTTGAACTTGGAAGAGAATCCTGGGTTGGAAGCAACTGACTGTGAAATACAGCTTGTCTCCGCGTGAGACAGTGACCAATGAACCAGCCACAGGACAGTAAAAACTCCTCAAAGACTGGGATTTCCAGCGCATCACCTGGGCTGTGCAGAGTAGTGGCGTTCTATCACCCCCCGGAAGCTGGCCTAAATTCTTCGTAAGCATCACCTCACTAGCGTTTCACAGGGAGCTAGCTTCTATCTGTATCCCCGGCTCCCAGACGAGGAGACAGTGGCCCAGAGAGGTTAAGTAACTTGCCCAATGTCACTCAGCCAGTAAGTGGAAAAGGTAGAACCTGATTCTCAGCTGATGTAACTTTCAAGCAGACACTCTTAAGCACACGGCTGCCCCGTATCCACAGCAGGCATTCGGTAACGTCTGTGGATGCAGCAACTACCATGACCCGCGAGCATCTATCATAGGCTGGTGCAGGCAGACCCTGTACAATGAAGCACAGGGAATCTCATTCTACTTCTACAATGAGATGGAAATTGTCACAAGAGTAACATGAGGCCAATCTGAATTAGAAAAATTGGGCAGGGGTCCTGTGTTCCCCAATGCCCAAGCTTAAGTTTTCAGCGGAGATGCGGGGGTCGACAAGCCACAGAGATGCGGGGTGGACAGTGTTGTCCAGTCTCTGGGGGACAGTGCAAAGCCATCAGCAATGTCCCCTGCACATACTGGCGTGAAAAGAATTGGGTATATAAGGCTGCACTTCGCGAGGACCTCAGGCTGGTACTCAAGCTTTGACAAAAGCTTGTATGCAAAGGACAGAAAATTCATTAGAAAATTCTCAAGCTTAAATTTTGGTTGCTAACTCTCTTGGAAAAGAAATGTATTCCTCAGATTTGCCATGGCGCTTTCAGTAGGAATACCATGGTCCTAAAATATTTACTGAGCTATGTATCCCCACTGAAAAATCAAACAAACCGAAATTCAAACATGTGAAATTCAAATTAGAGATTATACACACAAGTCAATGGAAGACAGAAGACATTCACTGAAAACGTGTAAGAAAAATTCATATCATAATTTTGTATAAGTAATTACAACTGCAGCTCCGGAACCATTTACTTTTCCTTCCTTACTACTAGAATGTGGAATTTATCTGGACATCAAATTTCTCAAGTCTGAGGATACACTTCCAAGACGCTCTTATGTTAGGGATTACTAAAAGGATATAAGTAGGTAGAAGTCATTAAGACCACAGGGAAAATTCTTTAAAGAGGTCTGCCTCAGCTGGGAGGACTACTCTTTTTGTTCCTTGCACTCCTGCCTCTTTCTTCAGGATGAAGAGGCAATGGCTGGAGAGCCAGCAGCCATAATGTGACCTTGAAAACAGAACAGCATTTGAACAGACGGGCAGAGCAGAAAGACAGAAAGCACAAACTGCTCTCCCCCAAACACCTTTGAGCAGAGAGAATATGCAACTCATTTTTTTAAAACTTGTACAGTTGCATCTGTTACTAGAAAACAATTCTTAAATTATATCATGATATGAAAACATGTCTGAAGACTACCTTATTTTTTTCTGAAAGAAAAAAAAAAATCAGGAAACTCATGAATTGGGATTCTCATTACTCCTCTATTCACCATGCTGTTTGTTTAAGTATGACTTCCCTTCTTAATTACTACCACCAGCCCAGGAAGCATATTTGCTGAACCTGTCTCTATGTTTTGACATGCAACACTTGTGAAATTCAAACATACTTGTAGACATCCAAAGCATTATTATTTATTAAGGACTATATTAAAGGTGGAAGATCTTAAAACACTTTCAGAATCTGATGATTAAAAGAAATTTAATCGTTCTTCATTGGCATTTGATCTTTAGCCTGCCATAATCTACCCATATATCCCTTCATCCATATTTGATACTAAGGAGACATTTCAACAGCTTGTCCATCAACTGCAAAGTGGAAGGAACCTACAGAAAAACCACATTACTTAGAAAATAAAAGAGCTTCCCCCCACACTCATTTAGCTCATGAAAGCCCAATATGATTAAAAGGGTGAAGAAGGCAGACTCCACGAGGCGAACCAGAATGAGTGTAGAGAGCCATCTATTACATTTGTAAGGAGTTTCGAAATTTTCAAAGTGCTTTCGTATACATTATATCCTGTTTCATCCTTAAAACTACACCCTGCGTGGTAGTCAGGGCAGGGATTTTTTTTTTTTTTTTATGCTCGTTTCTTCTTGATAAATGGTTTGCTCAAGATCAGAGAGACTGCTCCCCAGTGAGATACCTTCTTTATCCTCTTTACCCTCTTTGATGCTTAGCTTAAGGGTCAGCCAACTATGGCCTCCAGGCCAAATATGGCCCACTGACTGTTTTTTGTAGTTTCACTGGACCAGTCACACCCATTTGTTTACATATTGTCGCTGGCTGATTTCGTGCTACATCAGCAGAGTTGACCACAAAGTCGCATCCCCAACTCTACGGCCCAGGAACCTGACAATACGTACCATCTGGCTGTTTCAAAGACAAAATCTGCAGACCCTGTGTTAGATCGTGATCTCAGCTATAGATCCTATTCTTGAAAGCCATGAAGCTAGTGTCGAGGATGATACACCTGTTCCCGCTGGCTTTGGAAGTCCTGCTCGGTAATGAGGCATTCCACTACCTTCTGAGGAATTACTGAATCGGCTGTGGGGTCACCTGTAAAGGTGGGTCGCGGTTTTCAAGTGGGACATGGTACTCGTGTTTGTTTGCCACTTACCCTGAACTTTTATCGTGTCTCACAGCCATAAAAAGCCTGGGGGTCACTGGTTGGAGGCACGCATGATGCCACAGGACTGCAACACACGGAGGGACACTGAAAGTAGAGAGAAGATAAGAGGTTAATGGGAGGGGCCAATGGCAAAGCTTCGGAAGCAAGGCATTCACAGGAGTCCCAGGTCTTCCCTTGTGGACCCATGACTTTGACATTCAACATGCCACCACATAGCCAAGCATCTCTTTTGCCTCTTCCCTCATAGAGTCAGCATTTCATTAATTCACACCCTGCATTAGACAACACTGTAGGAAAAGGAAGGGCAAGAGGATTCCTGAGTCCCAGCAAGGATTTTGCTTTGGGCTGTAGTCTTTTAGTCTCTCCCAGTACATCCAGTAGAAATGACAAGAGGGAACACACGTATGTGCACATGCATATAAGCGCCCTTTTTAAAAAAAAAAAAAAAAAGAAGAAGAAGAAGGACAAGTGATCTCTCCTGCTAGCCAAACCCCAAAATCTCCCTTGCCACAGTCCCAAGCTCTCTTTCCAGCTGCATTTCAAATACAGGAGGAGGCTGGGTCGCAGCCGTCTTACGGAAGCAGGCAGCCCGCAGATGGGCACACGGGTGCGGGCTGCGAGCTTTCGCGGTGCGGTTGGGTTATTAGTAGAATACCAACCAAGTCCAATTCCACGTAAGATGAAATTGCTGACAGGTAAGTCAACTCCTCCTTGGGCAGTTTCAGAAAGATTTTGTGACTAGCAGTCAGTATCAAGGTTTTGCAGGCCAGGCCCTTTCTGCCTAGATCCTGGGAGTGATAATGTCACCCATGCACGCCCGCCGAGGACAGGAGGGACTCTGTGACACGGGGAAACGGAACTCCAGAATGAGTAGCAAGCCTGAGCCCGCCGGGGCGCACGTGTGCTGGTCTCCCTCAACAGTGAACGAGGGCAAAAATCCACGAACGACGTGTCTTCTGAATCTAATCAGAGAAGTTGAAACTGAAAAGGAGATGTATGAAGTTTTATGATTTGAATAGTCACATCGTATCTCCGGAAACTATGTGGGTTGTCTGTCTCCCAGAGCTCAGAAGAGAGTTAAGGGGTGGCGCTCCCAGGGAGTGCCTCTTCTTGATAAGAGAGGAACTCAGGCCAGATTGGTCCACATTATGTTTTCTAGGTATGAGTCGTCTGCGCGAAGTGTAAACCGTTTGCCAAACATACTAAGGCTCGAGAACCTTCCTTCTACAAGTTGAACATGCTGCGCTAATACCATCCCTCCGCAACAAGGCAGCTTACGAGGAGGCTAAGAATGAATCAAAAATATTTTTAAAAGATAATTTCAGTTGGCAAAGGCTGTAATCGTTCAAACTTAATTGGTGAACTCATTAATGAGCAACTGCCATCACAAGAAAGAGGGCCATTGTCACCAACTTATCAGAGCAATGAGATAACAAAGTTAATTATATTGTTTTCAATGGGTTTACACTTGCTTCCTTTGAAAGTCTACATTTTCCAAACATTTGTTCTGACACTCCATGTGTTTGCTCCTCTTAAAAAAAAAAAAAAAAAAAAATCAGCCGTGGGCTCCTCAAGGAAAAGTCGGCAGATCACAGCCCTAACATCAGGGCAGAGCAACTGGAAAACTTTTCTCCCCTTTATTATCTACTTGTAAAATGTTATAAGCCTGTAAACTAGTTAATTTATGAACCGTGTTAATAATTTGCTCACACTTGATCGCAGGTTTCGCAAACACCAGTTCCAGGGATGCAGGAGGGTAATTTGTAGGTCCGGTTTCTCTCCTAAGGGGACACTAACTAATTTGACACAGTAACATGACATTGATGGTGGGGCACACTAATGACCATACTCTAAGACGTGGCTGTCAGCCTGTCGTTCCAGTGAGAAGCTGCTTGCTTTCGCTGCTGCTCAGTACACGATGCTCAACTAATTATTCAGACAGCGACATTAATGAGAACCCTCGTGTTTATTTTCAACATACTAACCAGCGCTTAGCTTCCATTTGTCTGATATGGTCACCGATAAAGTGTGTCTCATGAATAGCAAATTTGAACACTAATAAAACAAAGGAGAGCTGGGGAAAAAATAAGGAACAGCTGATTAGAAAACTATCCGTGTCTACTCAACTTGCTTTCTGCCTCAAATATCGTCAAGGACAAAGTGACAGGTAACAGGAAATGCCAGAAGTAGCAAGAAAACTAAAAGAAATATTTTTAATCACATATGTCCATGTACGATCTTGGCTTGTGACCCAAGGCCACTGGATCACGGTATGGACAAGAGAAACTACTATCTCAAAGAAATTTCACTAAGTTTAGAATACTGGACAGATTTTTTTTTTTTTTTTTTTAAGTTATTTCTCCATGGAATGGCCAAAAAGTTCCTTTGCTTTAATGTGCTTTTTTCAACATAAGAATAGTTGGATCCTTGTGAAACTACCTCAAATGTGATCTTCACAAACATCACTAAATATAACCTATGGTTTTTTTTCCTAAATCTATTGTAAAACCCTACTACCGAGGGTTTTTTCCAAAAGTGTTCTTCAATATCCTCTTATACATCATATTTCCAGTCTACTAAACCTTGCAATCAAGTTCTTTCTACTTTAAATTAAATTTCTATTTTGGTATGATAAATTCTGTCCTTCATTTTATGGTGATTATAATCCTAAAATATTCATATAATCATAATTTAAAATGAATAATTTTTAAAAAAGGTATGCTTACATCTACTAGAGGTACTGAAAAATTGAAAACACTCTTGATGTGGTTCATTGTAAAATGTACACTTTGAATTAAGTAACAGTGGTAGTATTTCAACAAAAGTTCTTTCCGGCATCATAAGCAATTCAACTCAATACTGAGTATGACTTCTAATTTTACAGAATAGCAAAGGAAGTAGGAGTCCACTGTAGATCACTTTGGGAATGAAAAAGTCATCACATGTAACATTTCTTAAGTATGCCTTTCTAAACTTAGAATAAATTTGCAATTTTAGAATGCCAAAATTACATAAATGGCATGTAACATGTAGGAAGTAGATCAGATCCCAGGCTAATTTTTTAAAGTATTTTTGACAAGTTTACAGATTAATTCTCTCAAATGAGCATGACTCTTTCCAAATGATGCTCTTTCCATGGGCACCCGTTACAAGTTCTCAGATTATTGGTATTTGTACAGTTTATTTACAGTAAGAATTCATCTTCCATAATAAGCTAAAAAGATAGGGTTGGTGTATGGCAGAGACCATCCAGATGCCCATCAAATTCCTTTCTCCTTTCTAGATGCAGAGATGGGATAGTACTTCCCAGCTTCCCTCGCCATTAGGTGGGGCCTTGTGCCCGAGTTCTGGTGAAATAGATCAAAAGTGGGAATGATCCTTTCATTCTGACCCTGAAGCTTCCTGAACACCACGAATGTCCTCTCTCTTCCCTTGACTGTGCACCTAGAGGTCCAGTGGAGAGCTCCCTGCTCCTGCGAATGGTGGACTCAGGGAATTTGGAATACGCCAAGGTCCGCAAAACACAATGAGTAAGAGAGCCACCAGCTCTGGTCCTCACCAGCAAGCACAAGGTTGAGCTTCCTAAGAAATAAAACTGTACCTGGTTAAGGCTCTGACATTCAGGAGTGTTTGCTGTAACCTCCAGTATCTCTTAATCGAATAAAGAGATCTTTCTAATTTCTCCCTAATTAGATCTTTCTAATTTCTCCCAAAGCTATCCTTGAATCTCCAGGCCACCAGACCTAAACAGAGGCACTATAAATTTGGGAAAATCCTACCTGTGATTATTTGCTCCTCTAATTAAGCTAAGGATAGAAAATGCACCAGGTGTAGCTTTTGTTATTTAAGATCTTTACAGCCCTGAGGGGAGGTCTGATTCCCATTTTATGGATGAAAATACTAAGCCTGCAAGAAATGCAGTATAAGCAAGTAGTGCGAATGTATACTCAGTTGACATTTCCTTAATTGAATGCCTCTTACCTTTTAATATCTAAATCTTACAGAAAATTCTTATTTCTAAAGCAAACATTTGCGGCTCTAGCTTATAAAAGAAAAAATTCCATGACACTCTCCAAAATTAAATAGAACACTTTTAATAAAATATATGAGGGGAAAGTGTCAAGTTACAATACAATTGGCAAAATGTCAGAAACTTCTGTAGAGGTTTTGAAAAGCCAGCAACAAAGGGGATGTGTCTCAGATATTCTTGGTGATTAAAAAAAAAAAAATACATACTGCTATGCTGAGATCATATTAATTGTTTAGTAATCAACATTTTACGTATTTTTACATTCTTACTGTGATAGTAGTTAACTATACCTGTAAGGCACTTTGCTATACTTTCGTCATATTTTAGAATAAGGATAGACCAACTTTTTCGGTAAAGGGCCAGACAATGAATATTTTAAACCGTGTTGCTGTAAGTTGTCTATTACAACTACTCAACCATGCCCTTGTAGGAAGAAAGTAACCACCGGCAATAAGTAAACTAATGGGTATCTTGTCCAGATAAAACTTTATTTACAAAAGCAGGTAGGGGCCTGAGGACCACATCTTGCCAACTTCTGTTCTAGAAAGCTGACTGGGTTGCAGGGTTGCATGTTGACACCTAACATTATGATTTCTCCTACGTAAAATAACAGGGAAAAAATGAGAAAGTTAGCACTTTCACCCAGGATATCTAATGGCCACCCAGGATTACTGATGTTCAGGAGAGAGAATATCCTCCCTTTGCCCAAGGTTCGAGAGAGAGAGAGAGAGAGAGAGAGAGAGAGATGGCAGCACTCCGTTTCCAAATGAGTTCTAACTCCACTGTCCCATTCTTTCCCTAAGTCACGTATTGCCTGACTCATGGGGCTCTTACAAAACACAGGCATCCCAAGCCGTCTGAACAGAATCCAAGTACTTTTATAACAAGAAGAGAAAGCTGATGGTTTTGTTCAGCTAACACTGTCCAGTATCTGCATTAAGGTTATGTGGGCAAGTTACTTTAAAGCATCCTTCTATTAAGGACTTCCTAAAAATAATAAAAGAAAGCGAAATAAATAATATGGAAGCTCTAAATGTCGCTGGGAGAGTGAGTG